GCCGACACCACCGACGCCGTTGCACTCGTTGTAGCAACGGTCGAATTTTGATTTCGACCATCCGTCGTTGCCAACATCACTGCCAAAGGATCGATCACTGACGAGCCAATCGCTTCCGCGTCCACCAAATGTTCCGCTTCCATCGTCGACGTGACTGCTGCTGCTGCTGCTGCTGCTGCTGCTGCTGTCGGCAATTCTCGATGCGAGTGAGACGACGTCGTTGGCTTCTCTTCCGTGTTCTCCACGCATGTCGTGGTGCCTGCGCACGCACAACGTTATTATTATTAAGAAACACACACGACGATGAAAGCGAGCAACTTGCTACTCGAAGAAGCAAGCAACAGCATCGCGAGACATCGTTTGCCATCGTTGCCCGATTATCTTTCCTTACCCGGTGTGCTGCAATTCGGGGGACTTGGTATGTAAACTCTTCTTCTCTTGTACCTCGGTCGAAGCACACGAACGATTGCCTGCTTAACGGTGAAGCCGATGGTCGTGTCGGACGACAGTAACAACTGCAAGTACAATTTAGCGGCCAACGGAATATTCTTCTCCACGTCACACGTCGCGAACGAGTGAATTATTTCGACAACCGCGTGAATCGTCCCCTCGGCGTGAGTCAATCCTGGAACTACGACCGGCGCGAGAGCCATGTTCTTCGGATAGGCCACGTGCAAAGACCACAACATTTCCATAAGTTGCACCACTAGATGCTCTTGATTTTCATCCGTAGTTTCGCTCTTACGAGACTGACCAACGTTTTCTCGATCCTTTTCAAAGATCGGCACTAGATTGGTACAAACAAACAACAAAGCTTTCTTTCATCGACTTTTCTCGTGTTTCTGTTTCTGTTTTTTTGTTTCTCTATCTGTATCTGTCCACTGCACAGAAACTCAACAGAGATTTGGCTAGCTGGCAGGCAGGCAGGCAGGCAGGCAACCAGCCAGCCAGCCAGCCTCCCCTCGATAATAACAGATCGACTTACTTACCATTGGTTTCGTCTATCGGCTTGTTCGTGTATTGTTCGGTAAACTTGGCAAAGTTTTGCGGCCGTGATACGGATATACCGCGGACTATAAGTACCAGTCTGTAAAAGTTCTCCGCGTCTATGTCACGGGCATCCTCGAGTTCTCTCATCGATTTCAACGAGTCCAGTACGTGTGACAACAGCACGTAATCCTGACAACAGTCATTACATTACGTCAACAACAACGAGAGAAAGCAGGGACGTCGACAAGGAGGAAGACGAGTTACATTACGCTTCTTACTTTGTGAAGATGATACGCCTGTTTGGACGGGTGTAGAGCGGCTAGAAGCGCGGTCGTGTGCACCTGCACGGGAGGCGGAGTCGGCAACGTGAGTAATTGCGACGCTACCTCGATAGCGGTCGCTTTCAACGACAGCTTGTTCTCAGCGTCGTTGGAGGGTACGTTGAAAGCCAATTCCAAAACTTCCAACATACCCGCGATCATCCTAAAATAAATGCGCACACTCGAGCCAACTGAATTATACGCGATTACGCGGAGCAAGGCTAGTCGTAGAGTACGGCTAGTATCGCAGAGTACGTGCATGTAGCAGTGGTACGCGTGTGCTAGGTTAGAGTTAGCTTCAAGTTCTTGGTTTCATTCAAGTTTTAATTAATTCAAACTTGTCGTCGCTTTAATTAATCCGCAAATGATTGATCGTTGTGAAACTTGTGTGTTTCTTACCTATCGATATCAAGGGAATTGTCCTTTGTCGCGCTAAACCATTATGCAATAAAATAACAAAAGATTTCATTTCGTTGTATTTCGAATTACGAACAACTATACTATACTATACTATACTATACTATACTATACTATA